TGTGTTTGTAACAACTAGAGCGATAATGAGGAAAATGTTTCAGGATAAAGATGGTCTTTCAAAAGCACGGTAGCAAAAATGCTGTTGCATTTCAAAACATATACTGGCGAACTGAGAAATAGCCTTCAGAAAATCTCCTACCCTTTATTGCCCAGGTCCACCTCGTAACTACGTATGGCACATGGTACACCGCTAAAACCCTGAGGAAATCCATGCAGACTCTGGAACTGAGTACGGATGTGTAGGTAGGTGAATCTGAAAGGTTTTATTGGAAAGGTAGGCAAGAAGCTCCTTAATAGAGGAGCTCTGGCTGTACTGTTCAAACATCCCAACTGTTTCCCCTTAAGCTTAGAAACTATTTTGAATAAATGCTTCCATTTTGAGATATCTACATGGTATTTATAGAAAACTTACGAGTCAATTTGAGTTAGGGCTGATGCCAAAATGCAAAGGAGTAAAACATTGGTTGTTGTTCTCGTTACCATAATATAAAAATACTTCACAAAAGTCTCTAATGTTTGTGTTGCTGAATCATGGAAGACTGGGTTCAAACACTGTAAAGGAATGGTTAACTGTGGGAAATGTGAGTATAGTATAGAATTAGCCTCGGCACCTTCCGAAAGCAGTGCATTATGGGAGCAAACTTTCTCAGTTAAAAATACTGTGTGAGATGAGAACAGGTTGTAAATGGGTACAACCAAAGTCACCTTCATTGTTAAAAGTAAGTTTAGATTATTATGCATTGAATTTTATACTTGTTCATCTGGATATAAAGTACAAAAAAGAAAAGTCCACTCTTCCAACAACTCAGTACTTGGAAGCCTATCTAAAATGCCATCCTGTGGTTCATGGAGTGGCACTGTTCAGCACAAAACTCATTTCGCTACCTCAGTAACTAAAGCTTCCTGGATGGAATCCAAGGCCAACTCATCTTACATGGAATCTCACTCTAAACCCAAGCATGTTAGAAGAACCCTACACTTGTTTGGTGTTCTAGCTATGTAATCTAAATTTGATGCATTCACTTGCTATATACTCCATGTTTAGAAATTCAGACATGATGGCCCATTTGTGGCTCACTCAGCTCTTCAGGAGGCCAGGAGGACTCAGCAGGCTGAAAAGGAGGAAAAAGTGCTCACTCTTTAATTCCCTCGCCCCCTGTTTTCTCAATTCCAAACACCATGGCAGCGCTCGAAGTCAAGCAAGCAGCTATCACAAAGAATGTGCATATGATAACAGTGCCTTGCCCAGGTGTTTCTGACACCTAGAACAGCTTGAGAGAAAGGCAAAAGCAGAGCTGAAAGGGACTCAGACAAGTAGGAAGCAAGAAGTGCTAACAGATCCCACCAGACCCTGCTTGTTCCATGGCGAAGTTACAAGGCAGAGAGGGAGACTGAAAAAGCCACCCAGGGCCACCAGTCTGGGATGTCACAAAGTGCTTTGCAGAACTGGGTCTCGAACATCTATTCCTTGGTATCCTCCTTGTCATTGACACGCTCATAGATTGAGATCTATCTTAAAAGTCTGTGCATTCCGAAATCCTAGCAAGCCATGGAGTTTTGGGGCGTGTTGTGAAATTAGTGGGTATAGACATCTGAAAGTCTGTGGCTTCTTTTGCTTGTTTTATACTATGTGTTCCAAGAGACAGCAATGACCTAAGTATTTATGTTTATTGTAAACTTTCTTCTTTCCACCATATTTTTCCCTTATCACCCTTTGCTGTGAGATCGGTGACCTAGATTATTTTCCACACCTGTTATATACACTGGTCAGTCCAAACTATCATACTGGTCCAAAGAAACATATCAAGCCTTCTCCAGGCAAAATAAGTGCCTCGGATTTAGTATTCCCTATTTAATGACTTGCCTAAAATAATGTCACCTTGTATGACTCATACAGTGAAAGTTTTAGCAGGTAACATTTATTCTAAATGCAAAGCTATTGCTCTGCTAGGAAAGCAGGAGAAAATAGGACATCTGTGTGTCCGTGTGTGTGTGTGTGTGTGTGTGTGTGTGTGTGTTCTCTGATAACTGTACTGTGAGATATTAGGAGCTTTTATAAAGACAGTAAATTTATATCCAAGATTTCTCAGCTAGTGCAGCTTATTATTTAAGTCTACGTAGCACAAATACATTTTGCATGGTTTTTTCCAGTTATATTTTATACAAAATATGCTAAGTAATAACTTTTGTGTAGATGAATAATTTCACCCTTATATTCATGCCTCTGTTATCTGCTCATTTCACATGAACCTGATTATATAGCAGTGCTCCTCAATTCCTCCCAAGAAACTTTGCCCAACCTACCCACACTTGTTGCCAATGTAAAGAACTGGTAATAATGAGTACGTTATTTCATCACTTGCAGAGATGGGGAAGAAATACCAATCTAATATTTGTCCTTGATATAATAGGTGTTTTACCCCAAATTCTCATGGGCACTTTGCAGTATTCTGCCACACTTCTTAGTTTCCAACCAGTCAGTTGTCCTCTCTTTAGATGTAAGGTAACATAATAGATACTAGTCAATCTGTTCCTTTTTAGTTTTAACAGTTAAGAGGATTGTAGTCTTTGTTTTATTTTAATTACCCAATTAACTTCTTAGTTGTACATGCTATCTTGGGATCAAAAATCTGCAGAAGATTTTGGGCTCATGTCAGTGGCAGAGGGAGAATGGAGATACAAAACTGAAAGGGAATGGCTAGGTATAAATCTGATTCAAGTTTAAAAGGCCAAAACTTTTAGAAGATGAGATAAATCATGTGACACATTAATGCCCCGTTTTTAAAAAAAATCCTCTAAATGCTCCAATTCCCAGGTGGGAACTCGAATCCCTGCCAATCTAAGACTAAACTATCCTATTACAATACTAGTGATGTTTTTAGGCACACCTTGATTTAACTCAGCACTTTACACCCAAGTACTTTAGCATTCGTAAGTTGCAAACTCCATCGTTCCAAAAATATTCATTTAACACCTTCCCAAAACGCCTTGGAAGGAAAAATTAAGAATAAAACTACTTTATTCCAGAGAGATGAAAGTGGGTAGGATGGGGGAAGTGTAATAAAAAGATCCCGAGTCGTGCATAGCAAGAAATTAGTGTTTCCAGTAAAATTGTTTACCAAAAAAAAAGTAAAGGCCTGTAAAGAAACTTAGCATCCCTAACTTACTTCCTACTCTCCGATACTGTGGAAGGACTGACTCCAAGGTCCCTAGACAAATGTCCTCTCTCAGAGGGGAGCTAGCTCTAGTCTCAGCAGGCCCCAGAAGGCTTCAGACCCCGCTATTTCTGTGTGTGGAGTGGCAACCCCGGCTCCCAACTGCAGCCCCCGGCCTGTCCCCACTCGGGGAAGTCCCGTGGAACTGTGGAGCAGACGCAGGTAGGTTTCTCTGTAGGAAGCAGGCACCAGGAAGAGCCAGGCTGGATGCCAGGGGTCGGGGGGCAGCTGCTAGCTGAACTGGAAGAACTGGACGCTCTCGCCTGGGCAGTTCTCAGGATGGCGGGAGGCACCGTTTCTGAGCTTCCAGACGCCAAGGAGTCGAGCGAGAGAAGGGTAAAAAGGACGGAGGCGGAGGGGGATGGTCAGGCAGGGTGTGGAGCTGGAACCCGGGACGGCGAGGGCTCCGGACAGAGGCAGCGTCCACTGCAGCACCGAGCGGCCGGCAGCCAAAAGCCGCTCCCCGCCCCTCGGCGCCGCCCGGGGTCCCCGCTCGGGGCGACCTCCCGCCCTGGACACACGGGCCTCAGCCCTTCCGGACGCCCCGACTCCTCCAGCTCTGCTGCAGAAGCGCTGGCCTCCCCTCCCCGCCCCCCCACACCTCCTCGCCGCTCGCCGCGCCTCCCACCCCCGCCACGGCGACGCCGGTTTGCAAAGTTCGGAGGCTGCGGGGGAGCAGCCACTTGCTGCCCGGCCGCCGGGTCCCGGGCGCCCCCGTGCGGACCCCCGGGCCGGGCTCGCTCTGGGCGCCAGGGCGGCCGCCGAGAGCCGCGATCGGCCGCACCGCAGTGCCGGCCCCGGAGCCCACTGCAGGCCCCCTCCCCCGGCCCCGACCCCGGCCCCGGCCCCGGCCCGGCCCGCCCCAGCTCCGGACCTCCACCGCGGCCACGCCACCTCCGCGCAGCCCTCGGGCCTGCGCCCCGGCTCCTCCCCCCAGCTCCGCCCCCGCCCCCAAAAGCCTGGGGCTACGCCGGGGCAGCGAGCCCCTGGGACCGGCCCCTCGGTCACCTGCATTTGCATTGCTTATGTAACGCACTGCAAGTTTCCGGGTTGGAGCCCTCTGGAATCCGGGCGCAGGATCACCAAGCGCGGGCGGCGGAGAGCGGGGCCGCGGCTTGGCTCTCGCCCGGGGACCCGACGCCGGGAGCTGACTCTGCTTTTTGGGGGGGGGGGGGGTTAAGTGACCCAGGCTGGCCTCCCCAGTCCGGGGTTCCCTCCAGGCACCAGCATCCCCAGCCTCAGATTCCCGGGGGCAGGCTGGGTGGAAGCAGACAGAGGAAGAGTTAGCTGCCTCTTGCACTTTGGTAAGGGTGATGGGGTGGCGGATATTGTGCCCGCTGATCACAAAGTCCAGAGCTCTGTCCCTCCTCGGGCAGCACAAGTAAGGAGACCTCGGGGTTTCTTCTGCCAACTACCAAAGCTCCAGCTGCCTGGGGCACAACCCTAAGCCACAGCCCAGTGCTAGTCCACCAAACACAAGCAACCAAATGCATTAAGGGAAGAGAGGGAAGAAGAAGAGAAAAAAGAAGTTTCCTCCTCCCTCCTAGGGATGGATTGTGTCACAGGCTAGAAGAGATGCTGATCACCGTTTTGGGGTTCGCAGACGCGGATCCAGCAGCGGCTGCTTGTTTATTCATGCAACACCTCTACGGGCAACACTGTCCCGGCCCCTTTACGCTTCCCCTGCCTTCCTGCATAGCAGAACTGCAGAGCCAGCGCTGTGAGCAACAGTACACACAGGTTATTATGAGGAAAAACATAACACGATGCACGTTCCGCTTACCAGTTGGGTTCTTGTTTTTCTTAAGACTCTTGCCACAAAGACACTGCAGCATATGCGTTCCTTTGCTGAAAATGTTCCAAAGAAACCACATTGATTTGGGCGAAAAGCAATCCAGCAGCTTAGACACCCTGAGAAAGAAGAGATCCTTGTGGTTGCATAATAATAATTTGAAATCAGTTCTCCTGAAGAGGGGCACCGGTTTTACCATAGGAAAAACGATAATATTCCGGATCTTCTCCCAGTTTTTCCCCCTCACGTGGTGTATTTCTTTGAGACTTCTCAGCGATTGTTTCTTCTCGGCCAGGGTGAATGATTTATCCCCCCTTCGCTCACCACTGGATTATTACCAAAAGGTTGGGGGGAAAATCCTTTTTCAGCATGAAGCCAAACAAAAAAGCAAAGAAATCCCAACTGAGATCAGAACTAATCAAGGAGAAAACCATAGCCTTTTACTTGATCGCTATGAGGATGGGTGGATCAGCAGCAGCGAAGCGGGATTCATCTTACTGAGAGAAGACTGCCATTGTGGAGCCCCTAGGAGAGAAGGAGGGGAAAAAAGAGGAAAAAAGAAAGAAAAAAGAAAAAAAAAGAAAGGAAAAGAAAAAAAAAAAAAAACCACCACACGCACTCACACACCAATACCACCTCCGAGATCGACACCCGAAGCCTCAGCCTCCCTTCTCTAGCGTGTGTTCAGTGGGATCGGATTGAGCCTGCAGTTCTGAATTCCCAGGGAGAAGAGAAGATGCGAATCTAGGCTCCCCCTCCCCGGGTCAGTCTCGTAGTAGGTAGAGAGCGCACCGAATCCCCTGCCTCCTCCGGCCTCTCCCTCTGCCAGTTTCCAGCCACCGTGAGCATGAGGAAAATCTCCCCTCCGGATTCCTCGCCCAGCCTCCGATGTGAGTTACAGGCATTAGAGGGAGGAGGAGGAGGAGTTGAAGTTTGCATTGAAAAGACTGGCTTTCCATGACGTAGCCACGTGCTTTCAGACCCGTCACCGGCGGGGCTCCAACCAGCCCGGGGAGGGCAGAGGCTCTGCAGTCTGCCGGCTGCGGGCCCCTCCTGGCGGCTCTGCGCTGCACCTGGGCCCCGGCCCGGCCACGACCCTCTCCCTGCTCCGCCAGCCCCATCCGGCCTGCTGCTGGCTCTCAGCGCCAATCTAGCAGCCTTCCGTGGAAAATTAACAATTATTATGAGTAAACCTTGGCAAATATGGGGGGGGGGGGCAAGAACTCAGAGTTGGGTACCACTCCACACTGCCAGAGCCAGGGCCACCTCCCCATTCTCCAAGCACCAGAGCGACTCAAACATGAAGGAAGACTCTGGGCTTCTCCCTTCGGTCTTATTATTTGAATCCTACTGAAGGTGTTGCTTGAAAACTATAAACTATGTAGCTGACAAGTATGTGTTTTTAGAAACAGCTTGTGCCAAGGACAATGCTACAATCTGGATGGCAGACTAATTTTGTAGGGAGGGTCAGAGGCACAGGACCAAATGGATACCTTTCCTGGACAGGTGACCCATTCTCTTGAAAGTTTTCTTGTACCAAAATCACCCTGATTTTGTCGCATCCTGATTCATGCTGGTTCTGCACCTAAATTAGTATTATCTCACCCTCACTCAGTTTTCATCTCAGCCACACTCCATACAATCTCAGCAAAACAGGCACATTTTCTTCTTTGTATCTAGATAGAACTCTGCTCTCTACTCATCTAAAAAAAAAACTCAAAGAAATTGGGGCAGAACGGTTTATTTAGGAAGAATTCAAATATTCAAAGTACTACAAATTATTACAATGAATACTATAACAAACTCCAGTGTTCCTACTACACAAAATTAATAAATTTAGCATTTTGTCATATTTGTGAGCTGCTACTAGAGGATAAAATTGATCATTCTCTCTCTTTATGTAAATGCCAGCTTCCATTTTAATAGAAAAATGGATATAAAAACTTTAATTGCAAAATATGCATTTAGAAGCTCCAGGTTAATTAAAAATGAAAACCATTGCCTCTACTGTTTGTTATATCAAACTATCTTATAAATAATAGATAGAGATGTAGATTTATGGAGTTGGGAATTGACTGAAGAGATTGATTTTCTAAAAAAAAACAACCTAATTTCTCAATTATCAGTTATCAAAAAAATGTAGTAAAACCTTTCCCACTTCCAAAGTGTTCTCATAGCTAAGAGGGATTTCCAGAAGCTAAAATTTCATCAACTCTCTGATCTTTTGGGAAGGATCATTCAATTTTAGGTTAAGATACAAAAAAGAACTTAAGACAAGTAAATTCTGTGAACGTTAAAAAATTGGAAAGCTAAATAGTGATGGATCCTATGTGTCAAAAGCATCATGTCATGTAGCTTAAAGAAATTACTAAGATTAATTGCAGTTTGGGAAGTAAAGAAAGAGAGAATATGTGAAATTAATACCAGATGACCTACTATAAAGCAGCAAACTGGAAAATGAAAAGTAGAATTCTTTTTCAAAAAGAGAATAGTGAGATAGCATTGCCAAATAATTAGACAATAAATTTTTATATCAATCAGAGACAGATAGCATATGTTGCTTGTATAACATTCTGCTGTCTGCTGAGAGGTTCCATAATATCCCAATATATTACCAGTAGGCAAATGTTAGAGAAATAGTAAAATAAAAACTATTCTTCTCCAAGGTCTTCTAAATTGGTCCTTTAAAGTACTTGCTGAGTTCCCTGGGGTATTTCACAAATAGAGTACAATGTGAGGAGAGGGGCTGTAATTATCGAATCTTCTATATGCTAAATGTGTATGAAGAGTATTTCTCAAGCCAGCTCTTCTTGGATTTCCACTCTCTACAATGTGAAAGTGAATTTGTTCCCCATTAAAATAATGACTGCCCAAAAGCTATAGCTCACTTTGCTACCTATTAGTGGAAAACTTGTTCTTTGTCCTGTGACCTAAGGAACAAGACAAAAGATAATTGACTGTGACAGTTACTTTTGAGGACCTATAATGCTAGGCACTGTGGTAGTTGCTCCTCATATTTTATGCTGTTTAAAAGAACCCTTTTTAAAAACAATATTTGAAATTTTTACATTTCTACATTTCTTTTGTATAATTCTTGGCACTTTATTACTTATGTTATGTAGTCTATTATTCATATTAATAAACAAACAACAAAAAAATGATTTTCCCCGGAAAAGATGACTAAAACCTACTTAGGTTGTTTTGTTTTGTTTTGTTTTGTTGGTTTGTTTGGTACTGGGGATTGAACTAGGGACCTTGCGCTTTCGAGGCAGGCGGCAGAACCACTGAGTTAAATCCCCAGCCCTAGTTGTTTTTGATCCAAAGGACCTGTAATTCCTGGTAGACTCTGAGTGGCCTATTTCAATCATTCAGCCAAAATTTATTGAGCATCTACCCCGACAGTAACTGTACACGACTCCATGTTGAATGCAAGTCATAAAACTGCACGGGGTTTCCAATGACACAGTAAAGACCAAAGATGGTCCGAGTTAAGCCAGGTTTGGGGGCCTCCCCATCATATCTGCGATAACTAAGACACTTCTTATGTCTACCTGAGTTCCAGACCATAACTTATTTTTAGAAGCTATTAAAGTGTTTGTTTACCCTTAGCCACGCTATCTTCAAATCAATACTACATGACAAGAGTGAACACTAATATAAAAGATATGCAAGTTTTTTAATGCTTGTAAGCAAAAATAAGATAAAGAAAACCTCGTCAAAAGTAAGAAATGGGCTAGGGAGGTAGCTCAGTGATAGAACACTTTCCTTGAATGTGTAAGACCATGATTTAAATCCTCAGTACCATTAAAAAAAAAACAAAAAAACTAACAATTGGCAGTAAAAGCTGCCTTGGTACATTGGTTAAAAATATCTGTAAAGTTTTTGTTTTCATACAGCTAAAATAAACCCAGTACTCATAATCAAATTAATTTAAAATTAGTCTTACCTTCAGCATATCATAGTAAACAAGGCTAAAAGTATAAGGAGCAGAATTTCATGACACAGTAAAATGTACATTTTATTTTAATATAAAGATGTAAACTTTCACAAAAATTGTCAACAAGAATCTGTGAAACTATCTTAGAATTTTTTTATTTTTTTCCAATTATTGCTCTTCTTTTTCACTCTTTTTAGTAACAAAATCCTACTGCCATTCCAGTTTTTGGAAGGGCACAGTAGAAAACATAGTTCCCAGCCCCCATCATAGTTAAGCATGGTTGTATGGTCATATGACCACATTCTAGCCAGGGAGATGTCAGCAGAAGTGACAAGCTTCATTTCCTCATTTCATTCTTCAGAAGAAGTGGCTTGCCTTCCATGTCCCTCTTCCATTCTTCCTGGGAGCTGGAAAGTTAGGGTCTGGGCACCTATGGCAGCAAGGACATAGTTGTCCAAGATAGAAGAAGCCTAGGACCTTGGACACAGCCACCCACCTCTCCCAGACTGCCTACTTGCCTCTGCATTTTTAGAAGACACAAAAAGAACTTTTTCTCTCATGTGAGCCTGTCTTGGTCCCTGTACACTACTATAACAAAACACCATAAACTGGGAAACTTATGAACAATAGAAATTTATTTCTCTCAGTTCTGGAGGCCGGAAAGTCCAGGATCAAGGCACCAGATGATTCAGTGTCTAATATGGCCTTATTTTCTCAGGGACAGTGCTACCTAGCTGTGTTCTCAGAGAGAAGGCGACAAAGAGCTCTGCGGGGCCTCTTTTAGCTGGGTACTAATTCCATTCATGAGAGCTACACCCTCCTGATCTAATTATCTTCTAAAGGATCACCTCTGTATTCCATCACACTGGGTATTCTGTTTCAACAAGAAGATTTGGGGGAGCACAAGCATTCAGATCACAGCAAAGCCATTGTAATTTTGTGTGAATTTGTCGGTCATTACACATAACATAGGGCAGTTGAGAGTTCATTACCATGATGCTAAAGCTTTGCATACTGGAAGGACTCGAAGAGCAGAGAGGAAAGTGGTTGAAAGAGTTGATCATAAAGGAACAACACATAGAAGACGACCTATGCATATACAACGACCTCTCTGGCTACCTTGCAAACCTCTTTCAAAACCATGGAGCCTTTTGCTGCTTGTACTTATTCCTTCTCTATTGCTGGTGCCAATGATTCACTTTTTAAGGAATAAATAATTCTAAATTTCACATCCCTGTCCTACCCCTCAGTTTCTTCCCCCATGTTCCTACATTGATACATGACACAGAAAATGTCAGGTCCT